TGTCTTGCGTGCGGTCCTGCTGGCGAAGGACGCGATACAGCCGGTCCCTCCAGCCGAGATGAGGTCGGGTTGGTCGGGTTACTGGCTACCCAGCCAGTGGTACCCAAAACTTCAATAAAAGAGCAGTTTCCTTTGCCTCCGGGTCCCAAGAGGGCGAGGATGGCGGTGCACGAGACCCTGTCTCCACACGGCCGTCCCCCTCTCCTTTCGCCGATGGGCAGCAGGGTCCGGTTCGGGGACGCTGTGCCTCCTCACGAGCCCCCTGCCCAGCTATGGAGCCAGGTAAGTGGTGCGCCGCGCACTCAGACCCCACCCTCGGACGCACGGCCTCCCGGGTTGGGTCCCTGTGTTCCACTTCGCTGCCCCACTGCGGGTACGTCGGTGGTTTCCCTGGTCCCGCTAGTTCGGTTGCTGGGGGCCTGGTTAGCGCTCCCCAGGCCGTCTCGCTGGCTCATGAGAACCATCAGACTCGGCTACGCGATTCAGTTCGCCCTGCGCCCTCCCAAGTTCAGGGGCATTCGGTTCACCTCTGTGCTGGACAAGGATGCTCCTGTCTTGCGTGCAGAGATCGCGGTCCTGCTGGTGAAGGACGCGATACAGCCGGTCCCTCCAGCCGAGATGAGGTCGGGTTTCTACAGCCCGTACTTCATCGTACCCAAGAAAGACGGTGGGTTACGACCGATCCTGGACCTGCGCGTACTGAACCGGGCCCTTCACAAGCTCCCGTTCAGGATGTTGACGCAGAAACGCATCTTTCAATGCGTCCGTCCTTTCGATTGGTTCGCAGCGATCGACCTCAAGGACGCGTACTTTCATGTCTCGATTCTCCCTCGACACAGACCGTTTCTCCGCTTTGCGTTCGAAGGGCGAGCATATCAGTACAAGGTCCTCCCCTTCGGGCTATCCCTGTCGCCTCGTGTCTTCACCAAGGTCGTGGAGGCAGCCCTCGTTCCATTGAGGGAGGCGGGCATTCGCATTCTCAACTATCTCGACGACTGGCTCATATTGGCCCAGTCCCGAGCGCAGTTGTGCGAACACAGGGATATGGTGCTCAGTCACCTCAGCCGATTGGGGCTTCGGGTCAACTGGGAAAAGAGCAAACTCTCCCCGGTGCAGAGGATCTCTTTTCTCGGCATGGAGCTGGACTCGGTCAACCTCTCAGCACGTCTCTCAGTAGAGCGTGTGCAGTCGATGCTGAACTGCCTGGGGTCCTTCCAGTGCAAGACGGCGGTTCCACTGAAACAATTTCAGAGGCTCCTGGGGCATATGGCATCCGCAGCCGCTGTCACGCCGCTCGGGTTGCTTCATATGAGACCGCTTCAGCGTTGGCTTCACGACCGGGTCCCGAGATGGGCATGGCGACACGGCACTTACCGGGTTCCTGTTACCCCGTTCTGCCGTCAGACCTTCAGCCCGTGGGCAGATCTTGCCTTTCTTCGGACAGGGGTGTCCCTTGGGCAAGTATCCAGGCATGTTGTTGTGTCAACAGATGCCTCTGCCAGGGGCTGGGGTGCCATGTGCAATGGGAATGCAGCTGCGGGGCTCTGGTCGGGGCCCCGACTGCAGTGGCATATCAATTGCCTCGAGTTGCAAGCAGTATGGCTAGTTCTGCGCCGCTTCAATTCGCTGCTGCACGACAAGCATGTACTGGTCCGTACGGACAACACTGCGACCGTTGCGTACATCAACCACCAGGGCGGTCTACGCTCCCGTCGCATGTCGCAACTCGCCCGCCATCTCCTCCTCTGGAGTCAGAAGCATCTGAGGTCGCTTCGCGCCGTTCATGTCCCAGGCGAGCTCAATCGTGCAGCTGACGAGCTCTCACGTCAGCCCGCCCTTCCGGGAGAATGGCGACTCCACCCCGAGACAGTCCAGCTGATTTGGAGACGCTTTGGGGACGCTCAGGTAGACCTGTTTGCCTCCCCGGACACGTCCCATTGCCAGTTGTTTTACTCCCTGGCCGAGGGGACCCTCGGCACGGACGCACTGGGGTGCAGCTGGCCTCGGGGCCTACGCAAATATGCGTTTCCCCCAGTGAGCCTTCTCGCACAGACACTGTGCAAGGTCAGGGAGGACGAGGAGCAGGTCCTCTTGGTAGCGCCATATTGGCCCAGTCGGACTTGGTTCCCCGAACTGATGCTCCTCGCGACAGCCCCTCCTTGGCAAATTCCTCTGAGGAGGGATCTCCTTTCTCAGAGAGGGGGCACCCTCTGGCACCCGCGTCCAGACTTGTGGAATCTCCACTTGTGGTCCCTGGACGGGACGCGGAGGTTCTAGGTGGGCTACCTCCAGCGGTAGTAAACACCGTCACTTCAGCCAGAGCCCCGTCTACTAGACACGCTTACAGGCTGAAGTGGAACCTGTTCGTCGATTGGTGCTCTTCCCGCCGGGAAGACCCCCGTAGATGCCCGATCGGAGTCGTGCTTTCTTTCCTGCAGGATGGGTTGGAGCGAAGGCTGTCTCCCTCCACCCTTAAAGTGTATGTTGCCGCCATTGCCGCGCATCACGAGGCAGTAGACGGTAAGTCTTTGGGGAAGCACGACTTGGTCATCAGGTTTCTCAGAGGGGCAAGGAGGTTAAATCCTCCGCGCCCTCACCTGTTACCCTCTTGGGATCTCCCCTCGGTCCTGGCGGCCTTGAGGGGGGAGCCCTTCGAGCCTCTGCAGTCAGTAGAGCTTAAGTTTCTGTCGTTGAAGACATTGCTCCTCACCGCATTGGCCTCGGTCAAGAGGGTAGGGGACCTGCAGGCATTTTCGGTCGACGATTCGTGCCTGGAATTCGGAACGGGTAACTCTCACGTTGTCCTGAGACTCCGGCCTGGATATGTGCCCAAAGTTCCCACCACGCCTTTTAGGGATCAGGTGGTGAACTTGCAAGCGCTGCCCCGGGAGGAGGCAGACCCAGCCATTGCTCTGCTCTGTCCCGTTCGCGCTTTGCGCACTTACGTGGACCGTACGCAGAGCTTCAGGACCTCAGACCAGCTCTTTGTCTGCTTCGGAGGACAGCAGAAGGGGAAGGCTGTCTCCAAACAAAGACTTGCCAACTGGTTAGTGGAGGCTATAGTCTTAGCATACCAGGCCCAACGTTTACCATGCCCCCTCGGAGTGAGAGCACACTCTACGAGAGGAGTGGCATCTTCTTGGGCATTGGCGCGGGGCGCCTCGATAGCAGACATCTGTAGAGCTGTCGGCTGGGCGACGCCTAACACGTTTGTGAGATACTATAATCTCCGTGTAGAGCCCGTGTCCTCTCGTGTACTCGCCTCAGGTAGGCAGTAACACCGGACCTGCTCGGTGTCGATCACGCTTGCTGCGCCATTCCCCTCTACGGACCGGATACGTGCGCTTTTTTGCTTCTCAGTTCAGTTCCCCATGGCGAACCCTGGTGGAGTTCCTCCCGCACCCTCGGCGGTCAGGCGAGGCGGAGCGCCAGACGCCAGGCTCAGCACTCGTGTGCATGCCCAAGGTCAGCCCTTGTGCTGGGCTAGGTGCCCGTGTGTAGTGATTCCCCCTTCGGGTGATCCCACAGGTGTATTCTTCCACGGTACGGCTCCCCTCACGGTAAGCCCGTGTCTTTCCCTGGCAGTCGTTCGCTGCCATCTCTGCTGCGTAGTCACCTCACCCCAGGCGGGTTGAGCCTACCGCAGGGACTTCCATATGTAGCACTGCCCTGGGCCAGTCCATATGTGTAATTCCACATGATACCTCCTATGTGCAGGATGTGGCTTCCGTAGCGTCCCAACTGGGTACGCTTTCCCAGTGTTATCCAATGTACCACTGTATGGAACAGCAGTGGCAGGACACCTCTGCCTAGCCGCTGTCCTATCTTCCGCCCCAGCTGGTGTGGGGGGACTTGCCGGCTTCCGCAGGGCACTGGAGGGGGTCAGCAATAGTGGCGTTTTCCATACGGATCCCAATTCGTCAGTCACGACTGACGTAACGTCGAACGTGACTGACTGAAAGGGAACGTCTAGGTTACTTGTGTAACCCTCGTTCCCTGAAGGAGGGAACGGAGACGTTACGTTCCGTCGCCACAGTTGCTGTACCACCGCTGTACGGCCGGGGCACGTAGTCTCGGCTCCTCAGCGAAAAACTGATGTGCGTTTGCACGCGCTCTCCTTTTATACCCGCGCTGCGGGGCGGGGTGCGCGTGGCGAAACACGCACGCCAACTGTCATTGGCTTGTTTAGTTAACACTCGAAGGTGATTGGGCTCTCGGGCGAGATCCCAATTCGTCAGTCACGACTGACGTAACGTCTCCGTTCCCTCCTTCAGGGAACGAGGGTTACACAAGTAACCGAGACGATTCCTTGACTCATGCTGAGTCTATTGCATACCAACATTTAAATGTATATAGGTCAGAACTTTTCGCAATTTTGAATTATTTGAGAAATTTACTTTTTCAAACTCATCCTAGACGATTTGTCTGATTTTCACCAAATTTGGCTCAGATCACTTTCAGGCAATGCTGGCAAAAAGTTATCAAAAGATTTCCGATACCATTCTCGTTAAATGTTTTAATGAATTTGATGAAATGTGCGCAAAAATGGACATGAGGCTGTATCTTTGCAACGCTTTAGCGGACTCTGACCAAACTTGGTACTTTTTATACCAAGCATGACCTGAGGGCACATGAGTATTTTCGGTCAAAAGATATAAAAAATGTACATTTCTGTTTATAATTTCTGAACAGTTTGACATAATATTGATCTCATTAGATTCGGAGCAGCATAGCGAATCAAACGATACTGAATTTTCCTATGTCAGCAACTTTGAACATGGACCATTTCAAATTTTGTAGTCAAATGCTGTATTTTACAAACGCTTTAACGTATTGTTATGCATCTTATGAATCTTATATAACCGCTTAAGGGAAATTTATGAAATTTGTAACACAGATAAAGGACAGTCTCATCATTAACCACAGCAAATTTGGTGTCTCTAACTCAAACTCAAACTTTTGAACCATAAGATCTAAAATCAAAATTATTTTTTCCTCTGATTCTCATACAGAGTTGAATGTATACCAAAATTTAAATTTCTATGGGTCAAGATGGGGCAAAATTTATCAAAAGCTTTTTTATATAAACGATAGAATGATACCTAATTTTCCTATGTCAACCTTTTTGGGCGTCAGCCATTTTGAGTTTTGTAGTAAAATGCTGTATCAACAAATGTCTTTAACAGGGTTCTCCAACCCTGCTCCTGGAGAGCTACCATACTACAGAGTTCAGCTTCAACCCTAATCACATACACCTGAACTAGCTTATCAAGGTGTTCAGGGCTACTTAATTACAGTGTTGAAGCAACTATATGCTAGGGTTGGGTGATGTCTACCAAATTGGCATCGGACGATGTCTACAGTGAAACATCGTGATGGACGATGACATCGGGGGACGGGGTTAGAAGGTGTGCCCGAAGCGGGAATCGTATGCAGAAAGGCATGGAAAACAAATAACGCATTCTACAGAGCCACTAAAGGGACATGGTTAGCCGCTTGCTAGCGGTAGACTATTACATTACAGTACATGAAAGTTCACTTACCACATACACAGAGAGATGACGGATAGGACAATGGCGAATGATTTTCAGATACTGGGCACCACTGACAAATATCTAATCCTGTAAAATGTGTGGTAGGTACTGCCGCTCTGTAGTATAGAGTCTGTGTGATCGCAAATCTCGAAAGTGAAAGTGAAAGTAAAATGAGAGCGTGCATTCGAAAGCGGTTTCAATGCCATGCATATTAGTAGCGGCTCCCTGATGCCCGCAATTTAGTGTAATTACCCAACGATATAATTGCGAAAGAAAGTATTGAAATATATTTTTTTTTATTCTCCCATCTCGTAGGCTATTTATTCCCTTTAGGGGTTCCGTAGTAGCCTACACTTAATTTCCTTTCCGAACACGGAATTGGGATGCGGCGGATTGCGGGGGGTATGGGGGGGAGGTCATGATGCCGACTCAACATCGTGATGTCTGTCAGCCATCGGCGATGGACGATGGCATCGTCTATCGGCCCAACCCTACTATATGCAGCTATATTTCATTTTGACCTTTTTATTACAATAAATATTAAATAAAAAATGGAAAACATAAGATATAAATGTTTATTTATATTTTTCTTACATTAAACAAAATATTAAATAAAATACACAATAGAAAAAGAAAAAAGAAAAAAAATAGAATTTAGTGAAATATAAATGTATCTATCTATCTATCTATCTATCTATCTAAAGTTAATTTGCCCCCATGAAAGTTTAATATAAAGTTATATTTTTTTGTGTTTGTGTGCAGATCCTAACTCAAGAGGACTGGAACATGGTTTTGTATAACGGCATGGCCTCTACCTCCCCCCTGGCGGCCCTGTATTTCGTCGCGCTCATGACTTTTGGGAACTACGTTCTGTTCAATCTGCTTGTGGCTATCTTAGTCGAAGGATTTCAGGCTGAGGTAAGGTACACACTGCAAGGCATTTGAGAAATTGAGTGTTTTGGTTGATGCACAAAACAATCTCCGACGTAACAGGGCCAATAACTTTCGGGTTTAGCTGCTGAATATTAATATTTCACGCTCACTGAGTTAATATGAATACATTATTGTGAAAAGCAACTGTTGGCTGTGGTGCTTTCCGTAACGGGGTCCAGTGGCGGCCTTGTGGGTTTTAAAATAGAGGAGGCACACTAATTGTATTGGTCTGGGATCCCTGACGATTATTATTATTATTATTTGCTTAACCACTTTGAAATGGCTTTTTGGTTGCTTTTAGTCAGAAAATGTAAAGAAAACGACACACATACAGCAAGATAATATAATTTCACTTACCTGGCCTATCACTTGAAGCAAACATCCATCACTTCTTAAAAGTCTGTCTTAAAAGAGAGCTGCCTGTTGCACCATTTAATTAAGCCGCGACTGCTGTAGCCTATATCCAGTTAGGTGTGTTTTCCCTTTATTTTTTTTATTTGTATATATACTGTTTGAATGACAGCTTTGTAAATCTGTTGGCGATCAAATATTGAATGAATGAATGAATGAATGATGCATTTATGTAGTGCTTTATTGTGTATTGTTGTACACCCAAAGCGCTTTACAATCATGTGGGGGGGTCTCTCCTCAACCACCACCAGTGTGCAGCATCCACTTGGATGATGCGACGGCAGCCACAGGACAACGCGCCAGTGCGCTCACCACACACCAGCTACAGGTGGAGAGGAGAGAGAGTCATAGAGCCAATCAAGTGATTGGGGATTATTAGGAGGCCATGATAGACAAGGGTCAGGGGGGCAATTTGGCCAGGACACCGGGGTTACACCCCTACTCTTTACGAGAAGTGCCATGGGATTTTTAATGACCACAGAGAGTCGGGACCTCGGTTTAACGTCTCAGCCGAAAGACGGATATTCAATATCGCTACTCATCATAAGTACTTGGTACATTATCAGCGCAGCGGGAGACGTTCAAACTAATATCACGTAATTTATGTCTCAATGATGATTGGTTGATATCAGAAGGGAGGCTAGCCTCCTCTGCGAGGTTTCTTTTCTCAGCACTCCTCAGCACTGAAAGTGAACACTCGATGCTGATTGGCTATTTTTTTTTACCAACGGAGGCACGAGAGCTCAGCTCTCCCCCGGCCTCCCCCTCCCCTTCTCTATCA